AAGACGCGTGCATACACGTGAATTCTACTCTACAGTTCTTTTCGCTCATTTGTCATATATTCTTCTGATTATACAACCGACCGTTTTATGGTTCGCTATCAATGTGGATTACCTCGGACCTTGAATATGGGATAAAGGATAAAGGTTGCGGCGTTGATCAAGTCTTCAGGGATGCGCCAAGCATTCGTTTTCAACTTGTATCCTTGTTTTGAGGTGACAGAATGCATATTTGGCCTTTGCAATGACTCGCGATGTCCTCCCGCTGAATCGAATCAGTGCTGCTTATCCTCCCAGACAAGTCTGAGACCAGTCCGGTACCATTTTACCGACCCAGGAGGAATGGATGGCTTGGTGAGTCATGAGTGCGAGATCGAACCATTGACCTCGTGTGCGACGCAAGGCACCTCTTAAACTGCAAGCGTTGAGTGGAATAGAATATGGGATAAATTCAAAAAATCACGGCTTCGAAATTCGGTCAAATGTTGGGTTTTCCTACTATATTTTAAAATACATCGTTGGCGCTCTTTTTAAGTTAGGCGCATTATTCTTGACATGCGCAAAACAAGGGCATAGTGGAGGAAAATCTATTTATATAAACGCATTTGCCCATTCTTGCCTTCAATTGAGTGGCCTTATTATCCATTGCTATTCTGGACGAGCAAGCATGACGAATTGATGTAGCTTTGCTGACTTTCTCGAATTCAAACTAACTATACACCGCAGGCGTTGAAAGAGGTGTACTCTGGTCATTTTGCAACAATGACAGTCCTCGATATGTGAAGAAAGACCAAGAAGGCCATGGATAACTGGTAAATTCGTTAAATTTCTACTCCCAAGCTCTAATTCTATATGATGCAGAGATGTTCGGATTCCATTAAGAATCTGTGTGCCCAAAATAAAGATTTTGTCCATATTTTTAAGGCCTCTAGTGGGCCCTGTAACTGGTGCTTTTTCGAAGAAGAGGATTTCTAAGTTTGCGAAGATCCTCTCTCTCTTCTTTGCTTTATACAACTTTTAGCTACTCTTCCTAATGCATGGTGCCATTGATTTTCTTCCGGAAATTTTCTTCTTATTTAACGCTCCAGACTCTTTCTGCCATCATGTAAATTCAAAATCTAGTACTATCTCAGCTTTAGCTGCGTAAAGAAGTTGTATTGCGAGGTCCTTAAACTTTATAGTAGTAGTATCATCATCTAAATAGCTGTTTCTACCCAGTAGCTAAGCCTAGATAACAGAAAAGGGATACATTTTCACTGCCCGTCATCATCTTGAATCCTTCAATGACAACGCGCTTTTCTTTTTCTTTAGTTTCAATATTGACTTGATAACTTGAATTTCGACAATCTCAGTGTTGCACTTTCTTTCCGAAATGGCTCGTTCAGACACTGTGGCAGCAAAAATGAATTTGAGTTTCACACTCGCGCGTTATCGCTAGACAAAGGCTTTTCGTTAGACTTTTGCTATCTACAAAAATTAAATCTCGGCAATTTCAATAGTGCGCTTTGCAACTCTTGAGAGCTTTGTAGCAGCTAAAAGAATATTAATTTCACCTTCGGATCATTATTGCGTCTCTCGAATCGCATTGCGCGCAGCGATATAAAAGCAGCCCATGAAAAGGCTCGATTTTTCTATTATTTGAAAATTTGCTTCCGCTTGACAGAAATTTCTAGCTTTTCCGAATTAGAACTGTAGAAGAAACTTTGCTTCATAGCGGCACCTTCCAATCGACTATTTAGAGACCTCACTCAAAACCCAATATAGTCTGCGAGTCAGAGACTGAGAGTCACTCTACAGCGCAACGTCATCTTACCCTTTCACTTCATATGAAAGTGGTACATGTTCTGAGCCACTACCATCAGTTGTTGGGTGATCCAAAAGACGTGTGGTACTGATAAAGTTTGTAGAAACCGAAACGTACGTTTATCACCAAAGATTCCATATACCAGACCTTTGAAAGGCTCAAAACATTCTATCAAACTTTGCTCTATCGTTCTATAGGTATGGGATGTTCATTTCCACTTATACTGCCAAATACTGACTACTAAGCCTGAGCTCAAACAGCCTAGGATTAAGAGTGCAAAATGTTATCCTTTTCGCTCTTCTGGTCCCCTATGAAGACTTCTTTGAAATGGCTTCTATCCTCAAAATCATCCAATTCATGCTATCAGATAAAAGTCTACTAATCACTAAAAGATAACTACTAAAAGTCCGCTGAAAGGCCATCGTTTTGTGCAGTGTCTCTGTCCGTGTCGCTTGCTCCAATGTTGCAAAATCTCAATCACACTGCCGTTCACATCGTAACCGAGCAAAACCTACTGCTGAGTGTAAGACTTAATTTTATTTTTGGTGCTACAGTGCATTAGATGAGCCTTCTTAAAGATCAAATAAAGCATTAAAAATATCGAGATTAAAGCTTATGAATGATAATCATAATCTCAAAAAATAGCAAAAAACATATGTCCCTTGAAGGCTCAAAATAATTACGGATAAAGGGAGTGTAACCAAAAGGTATTATGGCCTATGCAATTATCATCGTGGAATAATTCGAGCAGGCTTACATAACCTTCGTCATTCCGATGACTTTCTTATGGAACGTAAAAGTTCTAAGTTTTGTGGAGAGGCCTTCTTTCATTGCTTTTGAAGACAGCATAATGAACGGGAGGTTCATAGCGGAAGCGCTGAACTCTACCTCAGTTTTTATAAACTTCTGTGGTAATGAGCATTGCATTTAAAATTGCATTTTGGAACTTTGAAACATGAGTGAGGTGGCAGGGCAGTTAATGATGCTGAAAATGACGCTATGTCAAAAAGCAAGGTGATAAGGCGAAGTATTACTTCAGTTTTTCCCCACCACTCTTTTGCAACCGATTAACAGCGCATAGGGATCGCAATCGTCCGGTAGCAGCAAGAATGCAGCGGAAATCGTCTCGACGAGTACTTTATGAGACTCATAAAAAATCTTGAGCAAAAGCCCAAGCAAAACTCACGAAGACTTTTATGAAGAATGACTGCGCTCAAACGAATCGAAAAACTTTTTGGGATCCGCACAGTAAATGGCGTTGACAAATTGGGTAGCGTACAAAACCTGAAATACCCTGGCCTTTGATTAATATCAATTGAATGCTATGTACTCACTGCTCAGCATCGTCAGTTCTCAATATATTACTTTATTCTTAAGCAAGCTCTCTGTGTTGACCGATCTTGATCTTTGTAGACAGAGAATTATGTAAGCGTTCAGATAACTATATTTAAGATGCAAATCGGGAAATCCTTTTGGCGATGCACAATCGCCCGCTACTCCGCTGTTTGCTTTCACGTTTGTCGATTGCAATATGCCTGATAATCATTTTGAGCTATTCATATGATCTTTTTATAGGGCAACTTATGGAACCCGATACACGTGTTTCGGCATTGACGTCCTCGTCAGTGGAGCATAACATTCGTTGCTTAAGCCAATCCTTCGAAGGACCAGCCTTTAGAGAGTTGGAGACGACGAACATTTTACACGTGCCACTAAGTGAAAATATCATCAAATGGCAATGTTCTACACTCAAAGCTTTTGGCTGGTTTCGTTAAATACATCAAACCTTTCGCTCCAAGTGTTTCTTAAGATCACACTCACCTTTCAATACGTTCTGATAATCATTTTTTGAGCCATGCGTAAAAAATACTCGAAAAGAGAAGGATATACTAAACGATATCAGCCAAGAGCAGTCGAGTGTCAAACACTGCCATTTAGTGGTATTTTCACTTAATGGCACGTGTTAAATGTTCGTCATCGCCATTTCTCTGCAGGGATTAAGATACCCGCAAGGATTGGCTAAAGATGAAGGGTACTGCCCGACTGAGAAGGCTTTCAAGGCCGAAACAAGTGGGCTCTATAAGTTGCCCTATAACAAACCACAGGCATGGCTCCAAAATGATTATGAGGCATACTGAAAGTTAAACATGGTCTTAAGAAAGCACTCGAAACAAAAGGTCTGTCTGTTTGTTCACCATTCTTCTCAATGATGATAATGCTGGATATTGCTGTGACTTCCAGGCCAAAATGGCCATAAGCTAAGTACCATGGGCATTCTCCACAGCCCATGATTTCATCTTTTCGCTGAAAACGTTTTGCTTATTTATATTATTGAGAAGTAGAGCTTGTTATGTGCAAAAATGATAAAAACATTTTTACTTCTTAGGAAATCCATTTCGTCAGCTTTGAGTTCAGTCACTTGGAATAGAGCACGAATAGACAGCTTCTAACAAATCGTTTTTGAATTAAAGTATCATCTTTTGTAGCTAAGAAGCAAGTAGAGTTTTGAGAAAACAGAATGCTCTAAAAATCTAGTATTCTTTACTGCTTTTTTTAAGCAGTGTAATGAGTTATATAAAGGATAAGGTAAGCTCTCGAGTTCAATCAATCCCTGAGGGATGCGTCCAATGCATTCGACTTCCATTTTAACTTTCGTTTGAGGTGATTTACTGCACATCTGGCCTTTACAATGACTCGCGGTGGCCTCCTGCTGACCGATTCAGTGCTGCTTATCCTCCCAGATAAGTCTGAGACCTGCCTGGTACCAATTTACCGACCCCGGAGGGATGGATGACTTGGTGAGCCATGAGCGCGAGATCGGAACCAGTGACCTCGTGTGCAACGCAGGGCAGCTCTAACCACTGCGCCACCATGCGCTCTATGATGTGTTATATATATATATATAGTATATATATATATCTATATATATAATACATATGTTATATATATACCTAACAGAATTGAGAACAATAATAAGTTAATAGATAATAATATAAATAAGAGCAAAGAATGATGCAAAAACGCGACCTCAGGTGGGAATCGAACGCGTGTTTCATCCATACCGGGGAAGCGTGGCTACTACACTACACCACAGCTCAACTGGGTTTATAAAGGGAATCGCAAACCCGACCAAACCTGTTAAAGGCTGGTGGCGATAGCTAACATAGAAATGTTAAAAAATGAGTGTTGGCGCAAATGTGGCTCGATGGTGTAGTGGTAGTAGCACGCGTGCCCGATATGGATAAAACGCGGGTTTGATTACCGCTTAAGGCCGTGTTTTTGCTTACTACTCAATTCTTTTAGGTATATATGAATTAGAACGTTTCAAGATTTTTTTTTCACGTCACTTCATCACGTATGTTGTACGGATTTCAGTACTTCTTGCATTCCATTCGTTTCCTCATATTCATCCATCCACGGAAATTTTCAAATAATTTTTGGCGTGTTGCTTCAGCTGCTGTTTGAGGAGTTCGTCTTCTTCATGGATTTCGTAAAATGTTCATCGAGTCTATTCTCCTCACAATCTTGGAGGAAGCATCCTAGCTAAGAAGTTTCTCAAGGTATTCGCTGAGTGATTACAGGAAATCATTGGAGAAAGATCGAACCAGTGCGCTGAGTCCCCCACTCTATGGCATAAGGAGCGAAACTAATTTACTGCTCTAATAATCATATCGTGGCAGATAGCATCATGCTCTCGATTTATTCGCCATTCGTAAACATCATTCATCATTTCCTTGCTTCTTCATTGGATTTCATCACTCGTGCTTTTTTGTCCTTGTTTCGTACACCGCCTATTCGCTTCGTTACGAGTGCATTCATTTTGTCAACCGTGCACGTCATTTCTATCATCACTTGTGCAAAATAAGTACACGACCAGGTAATAGAGGACTAATAGAGGGTAGCGAAAGTCAGGGAATGTGCTAAAAAGTTCTTCAGAAACCGCCTTTATTCGTAAGTTTGGCATTGCCAGCTAATAATAATTTCTTGTGATTCAGCATATATCACGAGACTGAGAAATAAGTTTTTTCTTCCAAAGTTTCAACATCTTCGTCTTCTTACGAGTCGATGATTCGAGTCAATTGTCCACAGTAGAATGTCTGTCGAAAAATTTCTTCACTGAAGAGCGTTTCAATGAAGAACCTCATTCGGCGCTATCGTTACACAGAGGATGGTCATTTTATGTTGATTAGCGGCATAATGAGTAAATTTTAGATAACTAAATAACAAAATTTTTCAAGGTAGTACTAACGAAACTGTTAATTAATTTTATCAATGATACTTGACACTTTATTGATTCGTCTACACAGTGTTTTTTCACTGTGCGGATCCCAGTACTTTAAGCATTCAGTTCGCTTGATAGTCCTCTTCTTCAATGCCGTAGAATACTTGTTAAGCAAGCCTCCTCGCAATTTCGAGAACAGCCTGGCTGTGGCGTTCCATGAGGTGTTCTTGTTGACTGTCAGAGAAAGTTGGAGGTGGAACCCAGCTCCACATTCACCGTGACGAGCATCACAATCACTCGGCCACGATGTCTCATCATTATTGTTATTGAGAGATTAATAAAACCGGTTATATTATTATCAGTAAATAATAAAACATGAATACGCTTTGTGATGGCTGATAATGCTACCGACTACTGCGGTATAGATTGCGCAGGAAAGCAAATCCACAATCAACGAGTAATTAGCAAGACAATCACCCAACACATAAGGGCATCGCGAACAGCGAAGTTCTTTATTCGAATGTATCTCCAGCAAAAGAAATTCCGCTCAAACGACGACGAAAAGGCAATCCTACAACAAAGAGGAACGGCTGATTGATCGGTTCTGAAGAAGACGAAGATGCCAAGACGTAAGCCGATTCATTTCGTTATCCTCGCCCTATCGGCTTGACCTACAAAGTGTACAACATTGATGATAGTGCCGAGGCCAATGGAAGGTCGCAAAGTCCAAAGTTAAATTACATAAAGAGTGTTTAAACGGTTGCCATGTACTTTCCTTCAAGAAAAGCAGCCAGATTCCGAAGGCGTTCACGACGCCATCATTCAACCCTCTCCATCTTTCGAAAAACTGCTTAATTAGTCTTATCTGCAGAATCTGATTCCAGCTTCGTTGACGATTTCGAGACCATGTTACTCCAGAGACTGTTCAGAAGTCGCCTATGGTGTCATACGATTAGCTTTTCGTGTGGCATCATTTGCAACAGATACTCGGCAAAGAGAAACGCCTTCAGTAGGAAGTTCTGCTAGAAATTTTCAAAGCAACTGCACTTATTCAACAATGGTCAGGAATTTCTTAACGACTTTTTTTGCATGGTGTAAGGGTATATGTACAACATGACTTACTGGTGAGCAATTTATGTCCACTAAATCTTTGAAGAGCACATGTGGCGCAGTTGTTAGAGGTGCTCTGCGTCGCACACGAGGTCAATGGTTCGACCTCGCGCTCATGGCTCACCAAGCCATCCATCCCTTCGGGGTTGGTAAATTAGTACCAGACAGGCCTCAGACTTGTCTGGGAGGACAAGCAGCACTGACTCGGTTCAGCGGAAGGCCACCGCGAGTCATTGTAAAGGTCAGATATGCATTCAATCACCTCAAACGAAGTTAAAAATTGAAGACGAATGCATGGCGCATCCTCAGGGACTAATCAACGCCGAGAGCTTTATTTTTTATTTAAATCATTCAAAGAATTATGCAGTGTAACGCCGATTCAGGCTAAGATATGTTCCCATGAATGCTCTGCTGTACCATCGTCGCATGGAAAGCACTGAGGTGGATCGAGACAACCAACAGGGCTCAAGAGCTATTTGATATCTCTCTTCAGAAATAAATATTCAAAAATAATAAGTCCCGAAGCGTAGCTAAAAACTGACCAATGCCAGGAAGGAGTCGCTGTCTGGGAAGGAAGATAGATGGAGATAGGAAACTCACCCACATTCCATCAAAGGAGTTCTCATGTCAGTGGCAGCCATCTAGGAAAACTCTAATGCTGTTGTCTTGAAGCAATACGAAGGAGATTGATTTCATATAGCAGCACGCCCACTTCAATGCCATGAACGTTCTCATCTCTTTGGTCGGGCGCTGAGATAAGGGGTGAAAACTCGCACTATAGAGCAAGCTATTAGTTAATAGACTGAAGTTATATGTATATTGTGGGCCATAAGAATTAGTCCTCGTCTTCCACCTAAATTATCAGAAAACTTCCATCTTATTCGATATTCACGCTCCCTTGAAGCTCGCAGATGACAAAAAATTCTAAGCAGTGACTCTGAAGGAGACTAAGGCAAGAAGATCGAAGCGCCACAGCTTTATCGCACACCCTTTCTTCACCCGTCACATTTAATCATTCAATGCTCCATCATCTCGTCGAGCCATTCGAACTAGATGCGTTCTATGTCTAATGGAAGCTAACAGATCGCAAAAGGCTGCTTTTGCAGCATGAAGTCTCGACTGTTCTTTTCGATATAAGTGGTCAACGGTATTCTGAGTAAAAATTGTGACCGCCTGCTATTCATTGTACTCAAAAAAGGCCTAAACACCCCTATGTTAGTTAGCTGGTTGATTGTAATGAAAATTTAGCAATATTAGGCCGTTCCAAAAGTTTTGGCGTTAGATAAATGAACTCCAAATTACCTAGAAAATTTCAAAATTGCACAATTTTGGCATCGTTACACTGAGAATTCTCTGACGAGCACTTTGGTTTACAGCTAGCCTAATTTGTTTAAGAAGGAGTTTTAGTGGGATCAAATTTGCTTGCTACCTCTTCACGAGTCGTTCGTAGGAAAAATGCAAGTGAAGCGGCGCCAGAGATTAACGGGGCTTGCTGTAGACGGCTCGAGCGCGACTGATCCTCCAGACAGTTCTCTCCAGCTTTGAACTTCGCAAACTACTTTCTAGCCGTCCTTGATGTGACCGTACTATTGCCTCAAGCTCAACTAATCTTACGCACCGCTTTACTAGCTTTCCTCCTGCGCTCCATTCGTGCATGAGGAGCCAACAAATTTGTTCCCAAAATAGCTCCGTTTTGAATAAAGTGTAGGCAAGTTGTATACCATATTTCTATGGAAATGCGCAATTGAGCCGCACTAAAATCATGAAATTTAAATTACCTCTGGTTGATAGACTCAGTGTTTGATGCTCTAATGCCAAAACTTGTGGAACAACCTAACAACTATGACGATATAGTTTGTAAGATATAATAAAATCGCATGATATCAAAGGACAAAACGCTCGGATCAATCCCTGAGAGATGATCCATGCACGTGGCTCCATCAATTACTGTCAGAGGCAATTGAATCATATTTGCTTTTACAACTGTAGCGGTAGCCTATTCAAGCATCAAGCCATTGCTACTATCCTTCCAGCAAGTCTGGGACCAACTCGTCGAGCCCGTAGGGATAGAAGACTTGGTGAGCCATGGGACGCGGGATTGTGTCATCTCAACGTGGGTGTACCAGGGTACCTCTAACCACTGTGCCACACGCGCCCCATTATATTACGATTGTCAACACTTTGAGGATCGTGTTAATATTTCACCTGGCACGCAGCGCGGTCGCCTGTTAGCGGGCATGCTTGATAACAATGTGATGGTTTTCTAATAAAATCTAAGTTATTATCGCCATAAAAAAGAAATTTATCGTCGTAATTGGTAGAATATGATTGAGGAGGCCTCAGTCAAGCTAGGGGTTAGAAGCATCGCGATTTATTCCTCTATAATGCCCCAATTTTGAAGGGAAAAACCAGATGCTCTTAAACAGGCCATATTTCGAGTTGTTCTTCAGAATTTTGGTGCCAAATTATTCATATTTGTTCATTTTGAACCAAATCTATCTCTACAATTGTTATGTCAACAACAAATCACTTCATACACTACCGCAAATGATTGATTAGTCAAATATACTATTAATTATTAATTTGTACTCCTGATATCAAAAATTGAGACATGATTCTTTTAGTTTTGATATCTTCTTAGAAAATCAATAGCAGAAAGTCACCCCAGTGATTCAAAATTACAAGGCGAATAATATTTCAACAAATTTATACTGCGTCCTGTAGCATGAACAAGCAGTGGCTAACTACTCCGAATTTAAAACATAATGTTCTTTCTACCACTGGTACATACTATGAAGGTCTTTCTAAAAACCAAGCTGATTTTTAAAGTTTCTATCTGTCAGACTATCGAATCAATGCAAAACCATGCATACAATAATAGAAAATCTTAAGTAACAGCTGCAAATATATTCTATTCCGGAAGTATGTGATTTTGTTATTGA